TTTCCTTCGTTTTTACCCTACTGCCTTCATGTTTGATTTTGTTCCCGTCTTTTTGATTTTAATGCCACATTTAAAAGTGATAGTAAAAGGTGTTGGGTATAATAGGTGGTTTACATCTGAAATTTTGCAAGCTGCATTGGTCATTATTGTTGGTAGAATCTGACCTTATGTCGCATTTTCATATTTTTTTTTCTTCTATTGCTAATCTTGTGTAAAGATCGATGTTAGTTTCTCTTAAAATAAGGAATCATCTCATGATTGTGATGAGGGTTTTATTTCAAACATATTCATATAGGGTTATTTATCTGCCTCTGCTGACCCAGAGGGCTCACTCTCCAGATTGCATACTACAATCAAGACTATGATCTCTTCAGTGATTTTAGTTACATCGCTTTTTGGATCAATGCTCATATTAAGTGGGCCTAGGCTGCGTTTGTTTTCCCGAATTCCTGTTGGTGTGTCAGCTGCTGGTGCTTTTATATTGTCATTTTCATTGTGTCCAAAAGTAAAGTTTGTAGTTTCACATTGGCGTATCTCAGGTTCAGATTATACAGTATAGGCCTAATGGAATCAGTGATATCTAAGTGTTTTTCTTGTGCGTTACCTTTTGGTGCTTCTCTGTATTGACGTAGACCATCAAAAGTTTCTTCTTGCTGCTAGATTCGAGCTTCTGTTTGTACTTGTTTTAGTACACGCTGTGCAAGTTTATTATTGTTAGTAATATAACGTCTAATATTTGATAGTAATGTTGCATCATAATCTGGTTGTACGTCGGGATTATTTAGTCTCCATAATTTGTATGTTTCTTTTGTGATTGAATATGTGTTGGTTTCAGTTGTGCCTTACAAAAGGCAAACATAACTTCTTTATACTCTTTGTTTGACCACTTGAGTCGTTTCTGTTTCGTATTATTCTTATTTTGGATAGATGTTGGGTGTGATGTTTCTTACTCAGTTGCGCCCTTTATTATTATTATTATTTTTATTATTATTAATATTATGATAATTACTGTTATTATTATTATTATTATTATTAGCTTTATTATAATAATTATTACCAACATCCTTAGTTTTATTTTCATTATTTTTACTAGTTATTATTATCATTGATATCATTATCATTAATATTGTTATTTGTATTATTATTGATATATTAATATAATATTTGATATAATATTATTATTGTTCTTGTTACCATTATTATTTATTTCAGATATTAATGAATGTGAATCGAGTCCATGTTTGAATGGAGGTACTTGTAACGATGAAATTGCACATTTTACGTGTAGGTGTTCTGCACAGTGGAATGGCACCAACTGTGCTACAGGTAGGATAAGCATAAAATAATGAAAGTTTTTTACCTTGGGAGATTGTGCCGGTTCCCCACAACATATTTCGTCTTTTAGCTTACTATAAGATACAAGTTATACTTTTTCAAGTGATACAAATAAAGTTTAAAAAGAAAGGCTCAATGAAGAAAGGGGCAACCATCCTTTGAAGTTTGCACCATACGTAATTAGGTACTCTACCTACAAGAGGGGCTTCGGTCCTGTAGGTAATCCTACGGAAAAACAAATAAACATAAGTTAGATTACATTGAACATTTTCATGCAGACATATTCTTTTACCGTAAACCTACAATCCATTGTGAGATAAAATCGTCTTCTAGAAATAATTATGGGCTGTGAAACTGTATGTATGAAATTGCAATTAAGATTTTCATGAAAACGTTGTGTGTATAAATTACACAATAACTATTTACAATGCAATGTAGAACAAAAAAAAATACTTACATCTTAAAATCGTAGAATCAATCGTATGTGATTTTTTTTAACTGTGTATTGTGGACTAAGTGCAACCCAAACAACAAATGCTATGTGTTGTATTAGCTAATGAGTTATGTAGAGTGTATAGTAGCATTTAGAATGCAGAATATAAACCAAGCCGTGATAATAATACATTTTTTATGGACCACACAAAAATTTTTTTTTTTCTTTAATATTATAGATATTGACGAATGTGCCATGGGAACTGATGAATGTCATGTGTCAGCGTCATGTGAAAATACAAATGGAAGTTATAACTGTATGTGTAACAAAGGTTATTACGGCAACGGAATCAATTGCTATGGTACAGTAATGATCTTCTGGTGTTTGTAAACTAATTATTTTCTGTTGACATATTAAATAAATGTTAACTTAAACCTCTAAAACTATATATTTACCTAACTCAGTAGGCATAAAAAAAGCAGTGTATATTAGATCCTGAAAAGACGGAGTGGGAGCGGAACAACATTGCTAATTTTCTAATCTTAAGAATTCGTCCATTGTGGCACTGTACTCCAAACGTTTAATGACATTGATATGCCAAATTATAATATTTAGCAACATGTCTAAAATGTTTAGTGACTTCTATATATAGCGATGGCTTTAGTCAATGTTGTACTTCTGTACATAAATTTAAAGTTATAATAATGGTTACATTGTATTTATTGCCATTTTTCAGAGTATGTATTTTTCGAGTTTGATCAAAATAACAGCTCAAGTTTGCGAGAGAACTATGACAAAAAGAATGATTCTGAGCTAATATCTGCTACTTTTAGGCCACCATTTGGCTTTCCATACGGCAGTAAATTTTATCAAGAAATATATGTAAGTTTGCTTGGTATAGCTAAAAACAATTTAAGTGAACAAAGACATGACTAATATAATAAAGAAGAATGAGCTAAAATCATACGGTGACAGAGCATTTACCTTTTTTTAAAAAATTGCTTCCCATTTCATTCAGTTTTTACCATTTACCATTACTTACCATTAAAAGCACATGAGTGTTCTTTTTTATTGATACTTTGCTGTAATTATTTTCTGTTGTTGGTTCCTCTATTCCACCGTTGGTACATGATTGGCATATAATTATCCAAAACTTATATCCATATAGTTGGCCAGCCGAATCTCAAATTTGTATTTCCTTTCTATTGACCTTATCAAGACTTTTTTTAGGTCTATGCGATATACCAATTACATCACATTGCTTATAGTTCTATATCGTATAGTATGATACTATAACAAAGGAGGTTATATATTTACCGCTGTCTGTCTGTTAGCAAATTTACGCAAAAACTATTAACGAATGGGTCAGCATAAAATCTAGTTAAATGGTACATAATAATGTTGGAAAGATATGGTTAAAGTTTGAGAAGAGAACGTCAGGGTCACGAAATTTAGTGTTTTACCTCAACAATAAAGAAAATAATGGAATCACACAGGGGCGGATCTAGGTTCACATTTGGGGGGTGGGGGTGTTAGGTTTTTTTTTTTTTATAAAGACGCCAAAAAAGGGGTCCTCCCCCGGGAAAATTTTGATCACTAGATGGCAGGAAATGAGCTTTTACGACTTTTGAGGTGTCTTTTAATGACTTTTAAGTTCTTCAAAATTCAAGGTTTTTCCCCCTCTTGAAAACGGTCAGGTAAACTTTCTCATTCTTATTACAGTAAATAGGCCTATTAATGTGTGTATACGTACATTTAAAAAAATTGAGTTGCTTACGTATTCTTTTTCCCATGAATGGATAACCCTAAAGAGGAAGGGGGGTGCAGGGGTCCTCCCCAAGAAAAATTTGATCACTAGATGGCAGGAAATGAGCTTTCCAGACTTCTGAGGTGACTTTTAATGACTTTTAAGTTCGTTAAATTTTAAGGTTTTCCTCTTCTTGAAAACGGTCGGGTAAACTTATCATTGTCATTACTGTAAATAGCCCTATTATGTGTGTATGTACAGTACATAAAAAAATTGAGTTGCTGCATTCATATTCTTTTTTCAATAAATTGATGAACCCCAAATTATACGGTAGTCGGGGGTCCTCCCCAGGAAAATTTTGGTTCTTAATGGCGAGAAATGATTTTCCCGGACTTCTAAAGTGTCTTTTAATAAAAATTCAAGGTTTTTCCCTTTTGTAAATGGTCAGGTAATTTTTTTCTCATTCTTATTACAGTAAATAGGCTTATGTGTGTACCGGCACACAGACAATTTTATTTATATATGTTTTTTCCAAAAGGGGGGGGGGGGTTTCAGGACTCCCTGACCCCCCCAGATCCGCCAATGATCACACTTTATACACGGCCTGCGTATTGTTCAGTATTCAGAAACAGGTTGGAGGTATGCACTCTATGGAGTGAGTGCTCTAGTTTTAATATTGTTTCGTTATATTTTTTTTTAGTTCACCGAAAATGGCGTAATCGTTTTTTCCGAAGGAAATGCCAACAAAATCGGATTTCCGAATGCTTACGCATCCGGATTTACAGGTGACAGTTCACAAGCAATGATTGTAGCTCCTTTTTGGACCGATGTTGACCTTACTAAGTCATATGGCGATGTGTTCTACCAGGTAACCATCAGAATCTTTTCATTTTGGCGTTAATAAATTTAATGTAATATTCAACAGACGAACAGACGCAGGTCTATAGGCCCTATATTTTAGATATCATCTTAGATACTACATATTTATTTAACCACCATTGACTACCAAATAATTCTTGATTACAAATACACAAAGAACTTTGTTAATTTGCACAGGTTCATGATACATACGACTCGGTAATCAAGGATGCAAACCAAAGGATTCGCACTAATTTCAGTCACTTACAATTTAATGGTACCTGGATGTTGGTTGTTACGTGGTATAAGGTTCCTCAATATTCAGCTGAATTTACATATGAACAGGTAAGAACAATGTGCATTTCATGTACATTAATGAGAAGGTGAAAATAATAATTAATTTCAATTATTATAATAACCATTTAT